AGCTTTCTTGAATGCATCAGGATGGATTTCCCGACGCAATCAACAACCGATGACTGATGAACGCAAATTGAGAAAAATGAAGCAAAAGACTTAGATTAGACAACATGGTTCTCAGCAGATTCCCGTGGTTTAATAAATTATGAATTAAATGCGTACATTTCAATAATGATTAGTGGTTTAACTTTCTTCGAGCGTCTCGGATGAAAACATGCTTTTCTCTATTTTTGATTGACCAGACGCTATGTAGCAAGACAAAATATGACAATAGGAAGAGAGTTTTAAAAGAATTACCAAGCCACACGGAGCCTTGAATGAGATTCCTGATAAACTCGCTCCATCGGTGCTACAAAACCTGCCATTTGCATCCACATCTATCTCTCTCTCTCCACTTACAAAACACTCGTTCATTTGCCGGCTTTCACATGACAGACTATAGCAGTGTGATACGATATGAAGACGGATGTTCCCCAACCAACGATCTGCATTACTCGGATGGCTTCGTTAAGTACTCCTAACTGGATCGATTGATTTCAGTGAAAAGTAGCGAACTTTAGCTCAAACTATTTAATCTTCTGGTCTAGTTGATATGGAAGGGTAAATAAGCACAGCTCACCTGGGTTTAAATCAGGACTGACAGAAAAAGGTTTTGAAATCAATGAGTTTATCACAGTTGCCCGTGGTAAAGGCCATTGCGTGCTGAACGCAATTAGCTCTCGAAGGTAACGGTTGTACTGTACCGTTGTACTGATTGTATCCGCCGGAATACAGCACACACACACACACCAATTGATGGCATTTTTCGCTCAAGTTCACAATTCTTTGGGTTTTTTGCCCAACCGCACATAAAACTGAAACTGCACTGAGACATTAAATTGTCAGACGAGAAATGGTACCGTTTGCTCGTGGATTCCGGGGGCTCAAAAGGAATTGGAGGTTAGCAGTGACCGCATTTGTACGGAACATCAACAGGCAGTCGGTTTTGTTGGAAAACAGGAAGATACGTAAGATAGTGAGGCAGTTTATTGCGTTGAATTTGGACACCGATCTCGTTAGAACAGGTTACCGATCAATATCCATTCATTATTCATTCCTAAAAAGAATTTCAACTCTCGCGCTATCTCTCTCAACATCTGTGAATGCCTTAAAAGCGGAGAGTATGCCCACGCTCAGAATGTGCACCTATTAGTGTGATTATATGTCCTCCATGTTCTCACACACTTTTGAAACCCATAGTTCGTGATAGGTCTGATGAATTTGGGCTGAGGCGATTTCGTGAGTTGATACGTATGTATTTAACAGTGCCTCAAGTAGCTGGAAGATTAACGGAAGTTCAGCCTTTACCGGAAGATTGTTAAAATTTTAAGGCTCTGTCTGAATCGGTTACAAATTATATTTGGTACAATTTGTGGAGTCTGGAACAAAATAGATTGACTCGGATCATGCTCGCGATACAGAATCAACAGTAAAGTGCAAGTTGCTGTCAGAAATCATATATTTGAACGAATTCATCGATCGTAATTAAAGAGATGGACCCAATAAAAAATACAATATGTGGAAAAGAAATTTCAATTCTTGGGGTTTTAATACGAAGTGAACTCTGCAACTAGGTGAATGTCCTACCAGGTTTTTGGGTGCTATGATTAAGATCACAATGCCAGGTTGAGACGCGCACTCACAACGGGAGGAAAAGTTGCCTTTGTCGACATCCCAAAGGAATCAATAAACCGAGACATCGATTGATCAAATTGACGAGCCACTTCAGAAGATTAAAATAAGATCGGTTTTAATTTATTTCATTGCGAACGTGATTAAAATATAGTCACAGCGGCGGGAATAGATTATCACAGTGATTGTGCACTGATTCTCATCATCGTTTAAATTAGTTTCCTAATTCACTCACTGAATGTGGGTGGGATCTGACGATGAGTGAGCAAATTTCATCTAGCAGGACCGGTGTCATGTTTTGATATGATTCCGTAAGATCAAATTTAATTATATATTGTATCGATTTGCATTAATTTGGCATTCGCTTTAATTTCCTGACTGATGCTTATGCATGATATGAGTTTCGCTCCACATCCATTAAAATTGGTTCGGAAACGTGTTACTGATCCCGATTTGTGTACAGGTTGGAACAACATTCAAATATTTCAGCCCGGGGTTGTTGGATAGTTCCATACGAGCTGAATAATACGACCAGTTACGTATATCACCATGTTGATATCGATAATCGCATTTAATTATGCATAAACGCTAAACCGAATAATTATTAGAAATATCATGATGTGTGATTTTCATTCCGCGATAGACAAACCACATATTTGTAGAGTTCCATCGAATTGACTTACAACTAAGCAACTACCGAGAACTATTCAATGAGGTTTTGCGGAAGCAATATACTGAATTATAAGATATTTGTGTATTTGTGTGAGCGTCAGCCGACCAATCCACTTCACTATCGTGTATGCTTTCCCGGTTACAAAGGTTGAGTTACTCGGAAACAATCACCGTAAAAAAGCATTAGTTATTTACTGTAACGACTAAATGAGGTGAATAGTTCTGAACTAGAAGCGAAAAAATACACTAGACTCGTACAGACTTGAACAATGGCCTTGCGCTGGAATAGTCAAAATCCGTGTCGATTTGTCTACTAAATTTTATCAAAAATAAATCCTCGTCCCCACCTGCTACCCCCATTCAGAGGACCTTCTTTCTTCCAAATACACTAAACGAGTTCCTTTTCCTCGCAGTATGCAAAGCTGCTTTGGTAAACTAGACCCCAAACCGTTTTGTTCTCTGGCGCTCCGACATAAAAATTGAACAGCAAAAACTCCTGCGTTTGAAAACAGGCTGCAAAAACCAATAGCATACACGTTAGATTTGTGGGCAACAGAAGAGTATCAAGGTAAACAAGAATACTTCAAATGAGCTAAGATACACAGTTATTCCATTCAAATTAATTAAATTCATACAGGCCCCTATTCAGGACAAACGTTTCAAGTTCAAAGGGCAGTTTTCTCAGACCAGACAAAGCAGGCATCTGTTGGTATTTGGTTATTTATTTTCTCTTAACAAAGCCTTTTAACTTTCCGGGAAGGTCAAACGATCGTTTCTTATGCTTTCCATGCCAGAAGTCATTTCATTCTCTCTCGCTCTCGCGAGAACGACTTTAATTCACATTGTAAATGGTTCTCTACGAGATACGACCAACGCTGAGGAGGTTCTGTTCAACAGACTGGCGTACAGCCGTCACCTGCAACACCGCTAAGCATTTGTGTCTTTGTTATTACACTGCTTAGATTATAATGGGTGGATTACAAACAATCATTCGTTTTATACTCGGAATTATCTTGGCGCATTTTTCATCAAACATGCCAACTGACTCTGATTAGACCCTGAATGAACCAAAACGCCAATTGAAAAGTGTTCCCACTTCCTCAGCTTTTCTTCATCATAAATGTTTGAAGTCGTGGAAGCCGCCCAAGTATGTGCAACTGGCCCCACCCTCCGTGATTGGCATAAGAGCCACAGTCCCTCGAATTGATCCAGTTTTCATAAATTTTGAATAAATCGGTTGCTTTGACCTTCTGGATCCATAATGAAGAGTACACATTCTCAAGTATGCTAAATGGTTTTTGCTGAACTGGCCAGTTAATAGGCTTTGTTTCAAAGTTTTTCTAAGCAGCAACTATACCAAAAGAAACGTTTGTCTTTGTATTTTTTGATGCTTTTAGCCCTGCGAGGGTGTTTGCAGTTTCATACCGCCAGATCAAAGAGAATAAACGGAGCTAACGATCAACTGATTGGTCAGTTAAACTGAGCGCTAGTGGTGGAAAAACATTCCATCCTCACAGTAGACAATGTGATATGGCGTCAGTTCTACTAAGACGGCGACGACCAAAACCATTCCTACCATCAGCATCAGGAATCAGTACATTCGTGGAGACGAAGAGGTGTTCATTATGATTTGATACATTCCATAATATATGTAACGTATATTTAATGAGTGCTAATTTTAAAAGTACGAAACAAAATGAAGCGATGCACTGCTCCCGTTTTTGTTTTTGTTGTTGTTGTCGTTGTTTCTGCCGCTGCTGCTGCTGACGATGATGATCATGATGATGACAGTGGTGGTGATGGTCATGGTGGTGACGGTCTAACCGGAAGCGTAAATCGAGCGCATCAATTGCCCTTAATATAATGAGCCTGGAGGAGAAATTAGTTTATTTCAAACAGTGCAATTTTTATGGCAAATTACTGAGGTAAGTGAAATATAAAAATAATCTGTTTAGGAACGCTTAGACAACCCTCCACTGTACACGCAGGGGTTTTTGTCAGTTTCTTTAGCGTAAACACACCAATACTCTGTGCAGGTCTACAAATTAATCGTTATTATTTTTTCTAGAAATCGTTTACAATCCATGTGTCTAATTTCCATTCTAGAACCAATCAGGAAGAAAGACGGCTGGGTACTAAATCACGTTTATAAAAACACTGTGCGAATGATAAATTGATACCCACGTTAAATATCTCAAACAACCACTTTCTGGGATTTTGTTTTATACCGCAGAATCAATAGATAGATTGCTTTCTATGAACTGAGAAAAATCTCGAAAGTTAACGGATGGTTACGCAATAGTCTTGGTGTGGTCCAGATGATATTGATTTTACTGGTGATCCTGGCCGGTTGTCACACACGCGCTTATCATGCAAAGGATAGGGATTTTAACCCCTGGATGTGACTTTGAACAGGTACTACTGATAAGCTCTTACAAGTGCAAAACACAAGCTCGTGCTTCCTGCTTCATGCATGAAATTCTGTACAGAGTTTATGTGATATATTACCACTGGTTCAATCTCCAGTTTTCATTTAAAGTCAACAGTTTAGTGGATTCTGGATTGCGAAAAGCGAATATTTTTTGATAAAATTATCGTAGAGCCTTGGAAACAGATTATTGATCATGAACATGTAAAAATGTGCACATTCCAGTAAGTCTTACCCCCATCACCTGAAGCACCAAAGCAATCAGTCGAATCACTTCTGCAGCAAATTTAAACGAATACGTAGTACCACCGTGTTCCATCAAATCCGCGTTGTCCATGACACCGTGTTTGTTAACCAATACTCCAGTCGTGGTTGAAGGACAGCCGTGCGCAGTAACCTCGCCGTTATTTGGCGAACGCCCCTTACCTGAAGTACGTCCGGGCACCGGCGCTCCAATGCTACTGTTTTCTGGAGAGATGGTGCTGAATAATGCCTCTCCGAGGCTAGGTCGACCGGGGACCGCGTTAGAAATGCCAGACCACGCGCTATGACTCACATGTACTTCAGGTTTTGGTCGGGCAAGAGCCGGAAGACAACCCGACGGATCAAAGATGACCGCCTTTTTCAAAGTTTCAATAAGTACCTTTTGGATAAGAAATGATATGACCAGAGAGAATAAGTCCCAGAATAAAAAATTGCATAGTGTCTTAAAAACCGAAGAAACTATGTATTAAGAACAATATTGCATGCGATTCGCACAAATGGGAGGGGGTGCGGGGAGGACGGTAAAGGTTTTAAGTGTTCGACTCACTCGGACTTCCTTCAAATGAGCTATTGTTCGATTTTTTCGTATTACAAGATAGACAGAGCGTATGAGTTTGACAATATCTTCCCAACAAGGGTGGGGCTATCACGGGATAAGGGAGCAGACAAGAGAGAAGCAATGCACAGAATTATTTTCGTCGTATCTAATCGATGTGAACGAGAAACAATGAATATGCTATTGTACCAATTATTACCATTGCAAAAAACGTGTATAATGAATTTTCGAAAGCATTCACACCATAATACATGTTAGTTCTAAAATTTATCACCGTGACAGTCTCGGGAATTCGATTGCTAATACCTTCTGTTTAACAATAGGTCACAATGGTTAATGGTTTCACCTGTGCAATAAGGGGATAGAACATCCCAATCTCCATCTGTGTGGGAATGTGAAATTCAAATGTTGTCTTGGCCTGCCGGGACCGGTTTGTTAGTCGAAAACATATCGGGGGGGGGGGGAGAACCAGTCAGTGCAGTGAAACTGAAAACAACTTCATACTTATGCGAACACGAACTGAAATAGAAATAAAAGTTTTTCCAAAATATCGATTGGTTATTTCGTTTCCTGACACGAATAGCCGGAGACTTCCCGGTTTCAAACACACACGGAGGAGACAGTGATCCCGGAGAAAATTAATCGAGTTCGTTGTGGGATAATAAAGATGGAATAATCGCTTGTAGACGACAAATTGACTGTCTAGTCTATTCGGTACTTCGCGGACATAGAAAAACCTGCTTTCTTTTACAGGTGTCCCGATACAGGTTCTGGTGGGCAGCAATGCATACATTTCAGTCACAAACATTGGTAACGTCGTCATAGATGAATACACACAGAAGAAGAAAGGTATATGGAAGAAAGATAAAACAACAGTTCGCTGAACTTGCAAAATGCTGGAGCGTCCACAAAGGATGGCCACAAAAATGGTCAGGGAGTTGAATCGGTTTTCATACACAGAGAGACTGAAGTCACTGGGATTATATTCCAGTCATTACCGGCGCATCAGAGGAGATATGACTATGGTATCCAAATAATGCAAAACCCAAGCCATCCGTGTCGCCCGCTTCTGAAATTATCACCCAACGTTCATCTTAGAGGACACCCATTTAAACTAGTGGTCTCAAAATGCCTCTTGGAATGCCGGCGTCAGTCATTCTCAGTCAGAGTGTGTTCGATCTGGAACTCTCTACCATCCTACGTCGTCTGTGCTCCAAGCACTGAGTCTTTCAAACTGAGGCTCGATGAAACACTAGGATATCTTACGTTCCGACATAAGTGAAGCTGCGTGAAGCAGTGGAAAACGCACGTATCACGTGACATTTTACCCAAAGAATTGTATGTATCACTGTTTCTTACTCCACCGCACGAACCTATTGAACCAGAAAAGCATGAGCTTGTAAGTTATTCCCATAATAAATCTTTGAATCTTTGAAACTAAAAGGGTGAAGACAGGGCCTTTGAATTTCGGTCGCGCTATCCGTTTTTCCATCATCGGATTATTCACTGCATAATCATAATTGTGTCTGAGCTTTTTTGGCATCATTCGCATTAACTGTTACCTTGGTTTCCAAGGCGACTGTTGTGCTACTACAGTAATGACAAATTTAATCAAATACACCCGGGATTTCATGCATTCCATTAAATGGACCAAATGTGCAGCTGCAACCTGTTTTGGGAGGACTATAAGAAATAAAACCAAAAGGACGTTCAGGAAGCTTTCGAAAAATCTGAGGAAGCATCGAGCCTGTCGGAAAGTTGCTCTACGGAAACAAACCCACTACCGCTTGTGTGTTCCCATTATCCTCAGTTCTAACGTCCGATCCCTTATCGGAAATATGGCCGATCTCACCAGCTTATTCAAGCTTATTCATGCCCAACTAGGTGTGATCGTGCTAGAAGAAAGTTGGCTTCATAATGAAATTGAGGATTAAATAATATCTATGAATGGATTCGTAGCTATCGTGTCGATCGTTCTGTTCCTCATTCCCGACGGGGAGGTGGAGTCATCACGTTTGTCGAAGATCAGTGGTGTCATCTAACCAAAAATGTGTTTTCTTATTCCACACGTTATATAAACGCATCAGCAATTCAGCGTAAGCCCAGACATTTTAGCTTTTTTCAGTCACTTATTCTTGTAAATGTGTATATAGCTCCCTCTTGTTCAACTAATGTTCCTAATGATTTTTACTAATCTCTTTCAACTACACTGATTAAATATAAAGATACTTCAGCCTATATCATTTTTGATGACTTCAGTAATTCCGATACCCGTTTCTTAACCACCTTAGGTCTTCAAAACACTGTTACCTTTCCCACTAGGCTTGACACAAATCTGGATTTGGGTTTTATCAACCATCCCAATTTACTTCGTGTAGAACGCCGTCCTCCACTGGGAATGTCTGATCATTCGATGTTGAAGTTTTTCCCTCCACCAGAACGAACCATCGTGGTGATCACAAGCTTCTAGTAAGACAGCGTTCTCTAGAAAACTTCACGATGTTAAGGGAATTGTTCAAACATTCCAACCTTACTTTCTTTTCTGATCCCAACCCTTCCGTTTTCTGTGATCAATTAACAAGCTACTTAAACTTTTTTACGATGACTGTTGCGCCTTGGCGACAATTTATATTCGCCCCGATCAATTCTCATCCCCACACCTCCATCGTAGAAAGAAGCGTGCCTTCAAAATGCATGAGCGCGAAGAGGTGCGCTCCCTTTCTAAATTTATCTGGGCTGAACTTCGAAGGCTAAACTCTTTATAGGCCTGTGCTCGGCTTGACAACAAAGGTAGTCGTGACACCTGGCAAGCCCTCATGCGAATTTCTGGGGTCAAATCCTCAAACCACTCACCTGCTGCAGTGGACACAGATGGTCTGAATCCGAGTTTCATCAACGGTGGAACCGCTTTAACTGTTTTACCTAATGGATACGAAATAAACACCACTGATCCAGTATACAGTGTTGCACCTGTCGATATTTATCAAGAGTTGGCTCAATTAAATCCTCGCAAGTCCTGCGGCCCCGACGGAGTCTCACCAGCTGTCCTGAAAGAATGTGCTGTCTTCCTTTCCCCTGTACTGAGGGAACTTTTCAACGATTGTATTTTGCAGCAACGTATACTCGACTGTTGGAGAATAGCCTCTACCACCCCTGTACTGAAGAAAGGATCTTCAAAATCCCGTCCCATTGATTGCACCTCAGTTGTCTTCNTCTTCAAGGTGTCTGAAGGGCTCCTCTTTAAAACTCTGTCCATACAATTCAATGTTGGTGATCCGAAGCAGTTTCCGTACACCCATTCCCGTGGTACCCTGGATGCCCTTGTTTATCTGTCCCACTTTGTTTTATCGAACCTGGATGAGAAAAGTAAGGCTGTACGCATGTTTTCTTGACTACAGTGATGCTTTCAACACAATTGATTGACAAACTTTGGTAAATACCCTCTCTTTGGGCGGAGTTCAACCTTCTACTATTGAACTCCTGTCCAACTATTTCTCCAACCGTCAGCAGCTCACACGCTACAAAGTTCGTACATCTTCAATGCTGCCCCCCTCAAAAGGCGTACTTTAAGGTGCTATTTTATTCCCTTTTCTATTTTCTGCTTACATTGCCTCTATGCCTGTGAGCAATGCTTCTCTTCTCGTTAAGTATGCAAACGATGTAATATTCGGACTGCCCTACTCCGACTCATCATTTAAAACCGCTCTGCAAGAAGACGAGTCGGAAATAGTTGAGTGATCTCAACAAAGGAACCTCCGCATGAACCCCCAAAAATGTAAGGACGTAATTTTTTCCTTTTTCAAAGGACAAAAGTATGATGAATTGTCAAATACCAGCCCTCCTTTATCTGTCCTCAGTGACCATATGAAACGACAACCGTCTGTCAAATACCTTGGCCTTATTTTCAACTGTAACCTCACCTGGTCTGACCAAGTTATTGACGTTTTTCTGAAGGTCAGGAGGCTCACGTTTTATGTTTTACATCTTAAATCACTTTCCATTCCAAACCATCTCATAAGGCGTTTTCTTTTTGCGTGCGTTTTGCTTCACTGGCTTTGTGGGTCCCCTGTTATCTTCCCTGGTCTTTTGAACAAGAACTTCAAACTCATTTCCCGATCCCTCAAATTTCTGTCAGTTTGTAGTCTCATACAACGGGAACATCTGGTACAGTATGTGGTGACACATCACATCAAGTCTTGTAAAACATTCTCCAACAAGATTTTAGCTGATATTTCCCATCCTCTTTATTGCGCCCTTGATCACTGCCTTTCTCACTCATCCACCCGTTCCACTCACAAACTTATTAAAACACGCACCGAAGCTTACAGGCGGTCTATTGTCCCTTATCTCGCCATATTTCTAACAAACAATGAACTAGTTGCAGGAAATCTGCATAAAACGCTAAACTAAATCAATCATAAAATCTCGGGTATGCCATTGATTTTGATGTTGCTGTCCTTTTTCACGTCCTTTAATTGCTGTATTATATGAATGTTTTTTTCCACTTTTTGTTGACACTGTGGTTATGTAATTGCTGAATACCCACCTCTCGAGATGTATAAAGCCATTCCTTGACTTGATTTGACTTAGGTTCATCCACAACTCAGTGGATTCTATTTTCCTATCAGCAGTGAGACTGGACAAATATGGAACAGGGAATGTTTTATAAATCTTACCTCTCACAGGAACGAGTCGAAAACTCGGCCTGGTTGGCGGATGCTAACGATCTGCAGATTAATTGGTATAAAGAGAATGTGTGTGATTAGCTGAGATTTTGTGAGCAAAGCGCGTGCAAGAGTCAAAATGCAGGTTGCCCAGTTCGGTAACAAGGGAGTCCATAGGACCTAATGAAACGCGGCGGATTGTGAGTGCCAAAGCCCTGATAAAAGGTAATGAAATCGTTTTTGAGTAAACTGGGGAAGATGGCAAGGGAAAAATAGAAAATAATGGGTAGGACAAGGATGAACAAAGAAAGAAGTAATAGACCGCTTGGCAGTAAATGACAGACAGTGCGTAGCACTTGTGCCATCCTTGCTATCACGTGTGCCAAATTTCTTATTTTTATGGCCGAACCGGCTGCCTATTTCTAAAAGTATTTGCCATTGACAGGTGAAATAGCAGAAGTTTCCAGACAATATTATTTGGCGCATTTTGAACGTGTCGTTGAACTTAATGGGATTGATTTTCCAGTCACCAAATCGTACAATTTTTATGTTGCAGCGTTCTTCATCAGAACCAACGGTATTCACCAGTTTAGGGAAGCGACCGGAGATCGAACAAACGAGATATGCAGGGATCGATAATAATAGGGTCGATCCTTCATACGAGGTTAACATTTCTTTTTTTCTTTTCATTTTACTTCCTTTTATTGTATATACAAAGATACAATTTTCAGGAATGGGGAAGTGGCCAATCAAAGGGCTGCCATACAATACACAAATGGGGAAAGTCAGGCGGTGGTGGTGGGATTCGAACACTCGTCCTCCGGGGTGATAATTGGTGACATTACGACCGGGCCACCATTGAAGAGTTATTCACATGCTTCGATTCTCATTCACTGTGGTCCATTTATCGGCGCTCACTTATGAATATAAAATTAAACGTACACCCGTTGGGGTCACTAGGTCACGTGGACAACCCGCGGGCTTTTGTATAACAATGAAACATGCGAACGCTTATCTATAATCCCCCGATGATTTTCGTTTCTCGACGTAACTGGTTTTACCGGTTTGCGTCATATACTCACGGAACCATTTATTCCGATTGTCTCTGGATTATGACCTGGTGTGATTGCTGCACCATATCTTTGACCTTCGACCGTGGACCTAATGGCATTCAAGTTGTTCATGGGCCTTCAATGCTGACCTATTTAATCCATTGCGGCCAACTGGAATCAGCTGAACAATCAAGTTTAATTGTATCAAATTCTGCTTTAATTGAATGATTCGGAACGAGTTTATCTAATTTTGTAAGCTCTACCGTGATATATGTCAGTCTCTGGAGTCATCTATTGTGTCTGTCGAATAAAGAATATGGAACAGATACCGAGGGACGTTATCATTTCGTTTGTCTTCATCCCTTATGCTGAAGCAGAACGAGATGGCGCACACCTATGACGCATAAAGTTGCTAACTCCTAGTGAATGTAGGGAGATGTATAGATAGAAATTAAAAAAGCAAATCCGCGATAAATAGATCGACTATGTCAACAACTTTTGGTTCATCAAAATCGGACGATGTAATCGAATTAGCCACACCTCATTAATCGCCGAAAGTTTGGTATTGCGGTTGGATAATAGTGATTGCAGAATAACAAAACTTTTTCAGTAAGACGAGAGCACTGAAATTGTATAAACGTATTTAAGGGAAAAACGATAACCAAACAGGAGTTGACTAGTGTATATATAAAGCTTGACACGTTTTGCAGTAACTTTTGAGTGTCACTCCGGAACTCGGCACGATAATCTCAGTTTTGGACTCAAAGCAATTTATTGTTATCCTCATATATGGGTGGCATCATCAAGTTCGATTCATAAACACCCAAAATCGAAGTGGTAGTGGTTGGATAATGAATTACTCGAACTTTATTGACGATTCTGTGTTTACTTGCTACCCATCTGATGGAACTTTTCATCAGGAATGTACGCCCGCGTCGTCTTCTTTGATCACTCACTGGGATTGCGACGGTCTAGATCCGGTTGGGAAAAATATCATTAACGTGGACTGTTATCAGTATATTTTGCTAGAGCGTTTTCCTTGGTTCTTCAGCCCTCATTTAGGTATTCACAATTAGCTCATTCTTTGTTTTTAATCTTCACGAGGATTTTCAGACTTTGTTTGTGAACTTTAGCTCTATTCTCCAGTTGTTTACTGAATATCTGATAAAAGGAAATTCTCTTCATAACCGGTTATTATTTTGATCCGAGCAACAATTTATCCACTGAGATTGGCAAAGGCAGTGGGACACAGTCAACTGATGTGATGTATCGTCGTTTCGATTGCTCGTGGACTAACAACGGTTACGGTAATCTGAAGCGGTATATTCGTGCGCGGTTATCGCACCTCACCCAAACGCAGTACTGACAACGGCAACAACTGTAACAGTTTAACAGAGATGGTGAATCGAAGCGACAGTTATGTAGTGATGAAACACATTTGGACAATCAAGAACTACCTAGTGATATATCAAGATGGTAAATTGCTGGATGCCTCACGGCCTCACGACTCTTCAAGGGCATATCCGTTTTCACTTGTGCCTGATGATCGGCACTGTCCGATGTCCATGTGGACATATAATGTGAACATGTTATATTGGTTTTAGGAAGAAAAACAGACATAGAAAACCTTGAAATACTCAAAACCCCTGATTTTACTAGATCAAATTATAGCTGGAACAAAAAGTAAAAACGGAACAACCGAAAAGACAACATGACACGAAACAAGTTTAGTTTAGGTGATGATGTCAACGGGACACCAATGTCGTTGCCAGTGTGGTGCTCAACCATTCAGTACATACATGGCGAGCGCTCTGTGCTATTACGAGATGCACTGTATATTCTATCTTGTCAAGATATTCCAGGTGATGAAAACATTCTTGCAATCCATATATATTAAAATGCTATTCAAAATGTATAAAAAAGTCTGAGTTTTTGTCGCATTCTGAAATTGGATGAGAACACTCAGTAACACAAGATTATTTTCCCGGTTGGACGAAATTTTCGTTTCTTCTAATAGAATTTATTGCAATTCATCCCATATACAAACTACAAAGTCGATGAAGGCAATGGTTCTGACGTGTATGGATTGCGTTTATTCCGCTGCGTACATGTTAGCCTCGTTATGATGCGGCAGCGAAATGTTTGGGAACGGAAAAGAGATAGTTACATCAAAGTTACCCCGATGACAATAACATAACCTGTTAATAGCGATAAAAATAGCACTTCCTCATTCATTTTTAGCAAAAAACAAAATCTATCCGGTCGCATAAACCAATGACAGCAGACTCGGTATCCGAAACGAATGGTTTACGAAAAAACGGACAAAGCGAAACCCATCGGGGAAACAATGAGATCAGTTTGTGCTTTATTCTGAGCAATGCTTGACTTACTCGGAGAGATGCATTCTCTAATAATTTCGGTAAGGTGCGATTAATACGACCCAACAAGGATTCCAGTGCTTTGCAGGACCGCATCGATTCATGACCCCATTCGACAAGAGGTAGTATTTCGAGGAAGTAGCGCTGAAGCGCCGTGCCGGACAGTAAATCCGGGTTAGTTGGCACTTGTTTGATAAATGATTGAGCTAGCTCAGATAAACGCTGTTCGTCGGAAGGGGGAAGACGTACAGAAAAAATGACATCATGAGTTTTCTCCAGTTGAAAGTTGATTATGATTGAAAATTATATGACGAAACTACTGCGTATTGGTTAGTCTGTCGTAAAGAACTTATTGTTAGGGAATGTACGATGAAGAGACTTACGGCTTTGTAGCATACAAAAGGGTTCGAAAATTAGATGGATGCTTTTTCATCAAGTTGATAAGCAACAGTTCGGGTTGTTTGATCGCGTGGAAAAATAGTGTCAATTATAACTGATGTATATAGTTTTATAATGAATAAATACTTACAACATTGGGGGGCTCTGGAGGATGATATCATCAAGGAGCGGCAGGAATTCTGATAACTTCTATCATGTGAAAATACTGTCAGCATGAGTTCCTTCGGAGTTCGGCTATTTATAGGCCACCGTAGGGGCAAAAAGTGTGTGCACCTGAACACAAATTAAGAAAGGCCACAGACAAGTAGCACTGCAACTTACGTCTCTGACAAATTTTGTTTCATGCATTATCCACAAACGATACAGATGGCAGTCCACACTTTATTTATGGTGTATTATAAATTACCCACTTCCCTTTTTGGTTATTCAAGCATTCTCCATCTTTAACACATGTCCTTCACGGACAAATCTCAGTTCGTCCAGATCAATATCACTTATTCCACACAACAAGTAACGGTGAGTTAAATCTGAATCAAAAATCCGACTTCGTCGGTATGTTGCTAATACGTCCAAGACCATGCTTTCAGCTGGATAACTCTACCGAAACACCATGTCAACACAGTGGCTGAACTAAGTTAAAATAAGCAGCTCAGGCGTTTAACGTGAAAGCATTCATCTTTTTCAGTGTAACACCATTGTTTATAGCACAACTAACTGGAAACAGGGAGACAAATGTTACAAGATGCTACTCATTGATTTAATCTCCTCAGTAGTTGACGTGAAACAAGCCGGCATATATATATATATATATATATATATATATATACGTGTGCGTATGCGCTGATGCACCACAGCTTGGATCAAGCTGCGTAGAAATCTACGCTGATGATATGTCCTTTTAACCACCGTTTGTGTCCACATTAGCGAAACTGAGCATTCGACTTGGGACACCTGGTGTATCTGTATATCCCACTGGGCTGATTGGTGGTAGTGGACGAACGTGTACATGCAAACAGTGATGACCAGGAATAGAAATGAAAGTTCCTCTCCCCATTAGGTAAATTGATTACATCAACAGCGTTTTCGGCGCATAAATGTATAATACATATTGTATAATGTAAATATTACATTCTCCTATTGGCACCTCTGATCATACAACACTGAAATTATCTCCCACGATCTACAGTAGATCCAATCACCAGTTTTACACTCGGCATCGTGATCGTCGTCTTCGTCGGCGTCAATGCCAACCCGAAAATCTTGCTAGACTAAAAATATATTAGATCAGATAGATTTCTCTTTACTTGTACACAGTGACCCCTCTATATTTTGTGATACCCTGACTGAATACTTGAAGTTCTGTTATGACACGTGCTGCCCGTGGGAAACTTTATACATACGGTCAGACCGTTTTTCATCCCCCACACTTAAACGATTGCGTCGGAAGAAAGAACAAACTTTCAAGGCGCAAAGGTATTCTTTGGTGAGAGACCACTCGAAAGCAATCAAGGCTGAACTGCGGAGAGTAAACGCCGCTTATGTGCATGCACTGCTGGCAAACAGAAATTGTCGGGATACATGGAAAAT